GCTTTGGCTGAGAGCCTGCACACTGAACTCCTGGGAAGCACCTCCAGGTCTCTGGTTTCCCCTAAAAATAAAAATATTTGTAAAACACTTGCCATTAATTGATTTTTATTGACCTTTTATAGGTAAATAAACTTACCTTTAGGGAGTGTAACATAGGTGACTTGCCAATACATCAGAGTAGAGGCCAGTTTCAGCCCAGGCCTATCTGCCCACAAAGGCCCTGACGTTTTGTGCTTCTGCGGTTCCCACCCTCCACCTCCATCTGACAAAGAGAGAAACCTGGCTCTTGAAGCACATGGGTCAGTCCAATCAGTTTCCAAGTGGTGGGGATCATTTTCTTAGACACCACTAGAGGAGATTTCCAAACCACTGGGCACAGTACTGAAGGGACTATTTTCCCAGGGAGCAAGAACTTGGATTCTGGGACTTAACTGACTGACCTTCAACAGAGCTACCACAGGTAAGTGACTGTGGTCACATTACTAACTATGCTTCAGTGTCCTCACCAGGAGACTGAGGATCACAGGTCCAGAATGCCATAATCGAAATCCTTGTGGTTTCTTGATTTTAGAAAGGTAATACAGTTTACATTTTATAACACCCCTACTGGGGTCTGGTAGAGGACCTAATAACCTCTAACCAACCCTGTCAATATTTTTGGAGTAAAACAAAGTGATATTCATTTAGGTGGGATACATTAAAACTACAAATAGCCTCATCAATTTGAATGCAATTTTCCACCATATAGACCAAAAGAAGAAGAGGATGAGGCAGGAAGAGGAGGAGGAAGAGGGAGGGAGAGGAGGAAAGAAGCCAATTTTCCTTTTTCAAGACTTTGAGATTTCAGAGTTGCAGAGCTGGGGTAAGGGATGGGGAGGCAGAGGGCAAGGAGTGAATTATGGAGCTGTGCTTCCCTTGCAAGGCTGTGTGGGGATTAAACACAGGAGGCCATATATACGTATACATATATATTATATATATATTCTTCTAAGCACTACATATATATATGTACCAGAACATTATAGGAGCTCAGTACATTTTGGATATTCTCCTTTATTTCAAAAGAGGAAAAATTTAGGCTACTTCAAAGATTATTATTTATATGTCAAGATTACTTCTGGGGAAGTTTGCTACTTCAGGGAATAAAAAGACCTCTTCAGAAGAATTCTAAAATAGAAACACTTCATCAGACCTCTTTGGAAGAATTCTGGATGAATCCAGCGGCCACTTCTAGTAGAAAAAATCCTCAAGAAAATTCCCGGGGGTCTGATCTAAAGAATAAGTAAGTTATCTTATTCCAAATACTGCCAGTCCAGTGACAGTGCTCTCTAACAACTTGGCTTAAATGTGACAAGTGAAAATCCTATAATCACAGCTGGAGGTTCTGAAACCAACCGAGTTGGAAGTACATGCAGAGGCCAGAACCCAGGGGCTACAACAGTACCATGTAAAAGAACTCTTTCCATTCCTTAACCCATTTCTGGTTTCCTCCCTAATGTTTTATTTTTTTTTTTAACCTTACCAAGATCACTTCAGTCTCACCTAGAGAATTCTCAATTTGAGGAGCAGAGTCTGAACTACAAATTGCTAATTTGTCCCATGCTGTAGAGAATTTTGATACATGAACATCAGTCCTCTCAAGCTAGAGAGCTCCTCTCTCTGAGTCTCAGAGCAATTTCTTCTGCTTTGATCGGATACTGCAATTTGTTGCCCTTTTCATCATTGGAAAATTGATCAGAATGATGTAAAGTACCCACTTCTTTCCTGGCCCAGCATGTGTTCCTCAAGCAAACAAAAAGCATTTCTGTTTGTAGTTTGTGTGAGATTTGTAGAGCCATTCAGAAACCAAGTACTTTGTATAGTATGTCCCCCAAACAATGAAACATGAATAATGATAAGCGAATGGGGGAACAACAAGGAAATGAGGGGAGGGTGGTGTTTCAGTTCAGAACTCCTGCTGCAGTTCGTCCTTGGGATCAAAGAGTTGTTGTAAAACCCTGACAAGCTATCACCCTGGGCTACTTCAGGGAATAGAAAGACTGCTTCAGAAGAATTCTGAAATAGAAACACTTCATAAACCTCTTTGGGAAAACTCCGGGTACACCCAGTAGCCACTTTTAGGAAAAAAACGTCAAGAAAATTCCTAGGGGTCTGATTCAAAGAATAAGTTATCTTATTCCAAATACTGCCAGTCCAGGGATAGTAACAGGAAAAACCAGTTATTGTATATATGCAACAGCCAGATGAAAATATTTCAGAAAGCCTAGTTCAATTATCTATGTGAAACCCAGGTAGTTTTTCAAGAAGCAAAGTCTGTTCTCTTCTATTAAATGATATGCCAAATGTGATGGCTCATGAATGTAATCCCAGGAACTTGGGAGGCTGAGGCAAGAGGATAACTTGCGCCCAGGAGTTAGAGCCTGCAGTGAGCTACAATCATACCGCTGCACTCCAGCCTAGACAACACAGTGAGACCCCATCACTTAAAAAACCAAAAACAGTACTAAAAAAATGTATCATCTCTTCCCACTAGAAGGTAAGCTATATGAGAACAAGGACTTCGTTTTGCTGTCTTCCTGGTCCTTGGAACCGGAGCTGGGATGTCAGAGGTGCTTAATAAATATTTATGGAATAAATAGTGAATACATCTAAAGCAGGTAGACAGATGGTTTTTTTCTCCAGTTGGGTAGAAAGTAGACGTAAACAAGTGATGTCAAGCACCCAAGGGACCTAGTGAGCATCTCACACTTTCTGTGTGACGAGGATTCCAGAAGCCTGCTGAAAAGCTTAGTAGGTTGGCGTCAATTCTGTGGGATATTCACGTAGCCCACATCACAGAGAGAGTGAAAATATCTACAGAGTAAACTTCATCGGTTAGCCTAGGGGGTGATAATTGGTGACACACAGGAAGTGGCATGGCTTCCTGACTTCTGCACAATAGGGGAGCAGTTTTCAGGTTACACTCAATCTAGAAGACAAAGCAAGATGAGTTCAAACCTGTCTCTTCCCCCCTGCAACGTGGCAAAAACTCAGAGAGAGGCCACAGAGGAAAGAAGCAATGTGGGAGTGCTCCGTAAAGGGGAAATGTTGCCTAACATCACAAATATGGGAGGGGAACTAGAAGAAAGCAGCCACAGTGGAATATAGATGATGAGGAAGGCACATTTGCTATTGTAACATTTAGTATTGAGGAATCAGTATTTACTGTCAAAGAATAGTTCAGGCTATCTGCCACCTGCTGGCAAGTGAAATATAGATAATATTGACCTGAACTTCATGCCATGTCCTGGGGAAGTGTGATGCCCTCCCCAAGGTTGAATCACTTTCCCAACAGGGTTGCATTACCCACCTCTGTTGCACAACACTTTAGGCAAACAGGAAGCTCTTCCCTCCTCACCCTCATGCACACACACACACACACATACACACACACTCTCACAATCATTTCTAGGTATACAAGTCTGTCTCCACTGAACTTCTGTGTCACAGAGTGGAGGGGGCTGTTACATTGCAATTGTACAGCAAGCAATTCAGAATCTACTCTTAAGGGACCTCTGGCTTGTCCCACCTACAGACAAGCTGCCCCCCACTTTCTCCTACACTAGCCTTTCACCCACTCGCCTCTCCTCTCTCTTTCTCTCCACTCCTTTCTCTTTTCTCCCTTGCCTTCTGGAACATCATATTTTCTCATGTGTCTCCTCTTAGTGACTAACCACTTCTCCCTCCACACAAGGTGGCTCAACTTCCACTTTGTGTTCTGTAAAAGCCGCTGGTGCTTAAACTTGAGACTTACTGAAACACCAAATGCTGGGCTTCTCCCCTAGACTTTCTGATTCAGTAGGTCTGTGTGCAGCCCAGAATTTGCATTTCTGACAAGCTCCTAAAAGTCAACCCAAACTAATCCCTTCCCCATATGAGGACTCCCTGATGTTTCCCTAAAAATCTAAATATCCACAATTAAATCAATGTATTTGATTATCCTCATTGGTAATTAACTTCAGGTGATGCTAATTCTTATTTAGCCACTGATGTCAATAGTCCATTTATCTAGTGCACTCAGAAAAATGCTTTTCCTCCCAGGGGAAATAGTGTTTTGTGTGGCTCCTGAAAGCTACCAGTCTTGGTCCTGACTCTGGTTCTCTTAAACTGAGATGGAATTAGGGCAGGGCAAGGAATCAGAGTTGAACTTTGCTGTCCTAAAGTAGGACAATGGAGATACATGGAAGATGGAGGACAAATCATGGTTTTGAAAAGAAAGTTGGATGTGACATTGATGACCTCCAACAATTAAAATCTTTAAACCAGCCCTGCCTTCCCACCATCCCTGCTCCTGCCACTAGGCCAAACCCAGAAATTGAACACGGCTCACTTCTCAGGGCTGTTCCCTCCACTTCATGTTCAAAGACCACATTGGCTGCTGCCCAAACAAGGTCCTGTTCTCAGCTGGACAATTCACTGGCCCTTAGAGTGGAGCCAAAGCCAGAGGAGAGAAAAACAACAACAGGGCAAAGGCCTCATTCCAGATGCCAGATGTCATCTTGCCATCCTCAAACAGCCCAACACTGCCTGCTGGCCCCAGCGAGGTCCCTGGTCCACAGCCTACATGGAGAGCCTGCAGAGACATGGGGGCTATTGATGAAAAACACAGGGAGGCCTGTGGTTTGTCTCTCCTGGATTTACAGCTCCACCTGGGGGTGGGGGCTCAAAGAGGGGCTATTCTTAGCGGCCCAGGCATAATAAGTTCACGCACATTTGCTGGCCCACCCCCTGTTAAAGAAGAAAGTCAACATGAAACCTATCCCAGACCAGACCCTGCAGATTCAAGGTCCTAGGGGAACAGTTATTCAAATGCCTCCGCTCACTGTTTTTTGCTTCTAACAGTGCTTCCCCAGGAGCCTAAAATTTGAGAAGTGAAACTGAACGTGCCACCCCCTTTGTAAGGGGAGAGGAAGAGCCATTGAGATCTTTTTATTGTGCCTATTATTTTTCTGTTGGTCTCACACAGGCCTTCGCCATGAAGGGTTTCACAGCCGTCCTCCTCATCTGGACTCTGATTTCTCCCAGCAGCAGTGGTGGAGGCAGCGGGGAAGCCTGGCCCACACACCTGGCCTGCAGGAGTGGGGGCCTGGAAGTGCTCTACCAGAGTTGTGGTAAGGAGTTTTGAAACATCCATTTGTGTTTATGGGGAAATTAAGGTCCACAGATGTGGGCTGCTTAAGTGCTTAGTTGGGCTGAACGAGGGGAGAGGGAACTAGCAGCCCAACACTTTCTCTGCATTGAGTCTGGGAAGCCATGCAGGAGTCATTGAGAGGGAAGGTGTGAGGGCTGGAGCTTGGGGCTGGCGCTGGGCAGGAGGGAGCCTCATGAGAGTGACAAAGATGGTAAGAAAGAGAAATTGAGTGTAAAAATAGCAATTCACTAATCCCACAGAGCCCCCCAAAGAACAAAATGATCAATGAATTTACCAGATCATGAAACCTCACCACTTGAAAATTAGGAAAAGATGCCTTCAATTAAGGGCCTTTCCTTAGAATTGTACACCCGGGCTTCCTGTCCAGTTGTTAACAGTTTGCAAATGGAGTTAAAAGGTCACTTCTGCCCAAAGAGGAGATTCCTGTCCTCCTTGGACACTGCCAGAGTTTCTATTATAGCTATAACACTCAGGAGCTCTGTAAACACTTAGCATGCAGCTATCAGTGGCAGGGTTTTCTCTAGTGCCAGAGATTAAAAAAAGAGTGAGACGTGATTGTTATCCCAGTGAGTCAAACTGATGTACCAACAGAAAAATTGCAATTCAGTGAACAGAATGTAGTGCACTGCAGTAATTAGTATCAGAGCCAACCCCTTGAGCTGTGTCTTGGTTTGCTTGGTTTGCCACAACAACGTGCCACAGAATGAGCAGCTTGAGCAGTGGAAATTAATTTTCTCACAATTTTGGAGGCTGGAAATCCAAGGTCAAGATGTTGGCAGGGTTGGTTTATCTTGTGGTCTCTCTCCTTGGTTTATAGGTAAGCATCTTCACCCTGTGTCCTCACACAGTCCCCGCTACGTGCATCTCCTCCTTATAAGGATACCTGTCATAATGTCCTCATTTTAACTTAATCATCTCTTTAAAGACCCCCATCTCCAAATACAGTTACATTCTGAGGTATGGAGAGTTGGACTTCAACGTATAAATTTGTGGGGGACAGGACATGTCTCAGCCCCCTCAGCTCTCAGCCCACAGAACATGACTCCAGATCACATCTGGAATGGAGATCAGAGTCACTGGCTTGTGAAATGGCAGGACACTGTGAGATCTGCCACTGGAAGGGAGATGGGGGTAAATCGCTGTTTGTACTGCCAGAAGTCAGAAGGGGTGCAGGTGAAGCATCTTGATTTGGCCCATGCTGAACTGGTGCATAGTGAACTTGAACTGGCACTTGGGAAAACAGTGATTCCTGAGACTGCCACCCAAAAAGCTGGTCACCAGGGTGGTTTTCCCAACTTGGCAAGGAACGTTGGCATGTCCCCCCTCAAAAAAAACCAGTAAAAAATAATAGTAAAAGAGAACAAATGGCCAGGTGCTGGAAGTGCTACTCTCATTACTTTCTTTTCCCTTGAGGGTGGGATACTGTACCAATGGCATCCCATTCATTTTAGGTGCAGGATGGGAAGCGAGATTTGTAATGAATGGACTAGTCAGAGTTTGCATTCCCAATACATCCCCACATAAAAGGGTTGCTAGGGCTGATCTGTTCCCCAGACTTCCCCTCAGCCTGCAGCCAAGTCTGGCACATCCATTCAAGTCATGACCAGCAGGGACACGAGGACTGGCCACAGGCAGGAAAGAACAAAATATACATTAACTGCCCATCTGGGGATGGCTCCTTCCTCCGGAGGAGGAGCTGCACCATGGAGTCAAAACTGGGATTAAGGAAGTGCAGAAGATGCCATTCTCACCCAAGAGGAGGGGGTGGATCAGACACTGGAACAATGGGGTGAGTGCCTGGCGTGAAGGGCTACAGTGGAGGAGGCATCATGTACCAGGGGACATGGTGGTCAGGAGAGATTGGGAAGGAGTCACCCAGCCTAACAACTTTTACTAGTAATGATAACATCTCGTGTTCATGGCAGGCACCATGCTCAGTGCTTTACAGACATCATTCTTATGTAGCAGATGTGTAAAACTGAAGGTTAGAGATATTAGGCAACTTTTCTAAAGCCACACCACAATTAGTGGCAGAAGGACATCCCCAGGGGCAAAAGGGAGACAAAGCATTGAGTTAACATTTATGGAATTAAAGCAAATTGATCCCCAGCTGCCTGACTCCAGAGCCCACACTCCACATCTTCCTACTCTGGAGTTTTGTAAGCAGGCAAGGTGGAAATAAGGAGTGGGTGAGGGGAAGAGAACTTGGGAGAGAGAGTGGCACGCATGAAAGCAGGGCAGTGTGACAAGGCATAGAGTCTGGGGAGCTGCAGAAGGGCTGGAAACACACACAGCAGGTGAGAGAGAAGGTGGGAGGTATGGGCAGGGCCCCAGGCAGGGCAGACTGCCTACCTACCTTCCAAAATGAGGAGGCTGCATTTTGGAAAGATCCTTCAGGTTGTGAATAGGAACTTGGGTAGCGGATTGGGAGCTATTTGAAGCAGTAAATAGGGTTTGTAACCAGGAACAATAACTCAGGAAAAGAACAACAGGAGTCGAGCTGGCGTCGTTTCCACAGCTTGAATATCCTTGAAGAGAAAGAAGGAGCCTCATAAGCAGCTACTGGGCTCTGAATACCAACCAGGAAGTGAACATAACTTCCTGCAAAAACAGAAGTGCTGCCCTGGCCAGCTGTTAGTGCTTCAGGAAAGAAGTGGGCCACAGTCTTTACCAAAGCAAAAGGAGCAACATATGCAGTTAGGATCCTCGCCTCCCCCAGTCACAGAGCGATTCCCAGGGACCCGTGCACACACTACAAATGCCCACTAATGTATTTACCATATGCTGTTTCTAGTACACAAAGGTGTGAAGTGATTCCAGACATGCATGCGATTGGATGAAGAAATAGGCAGTAGTGAGAGAATCAGGGTGAGGGGAAGAATAAGGGAAAATGGTATGGACTGAATTTTTGAGGCCACTCAAAATTTCTGTTCAACCCATGTGATAGTATTAGGAGGTGGGGCCTTTAGGAGGTAATTAATTCATGAGGGTGGAGTCTTCATACATGGGATTAGTGCCCTTATGAAAAGAGGGCAGAGATCTCCTCCTCTCTCCACCATGTCAGGCACAATAAGAAGGTGGCCATTGTAAGCCAGGAAGTGAGCCCTCTCCAAGAGCCCGCCCTGGCCTCCAAAATCCAGCCTCAAGGACTGTGGGAAATTAAAATGTTGCTTATTTAACACCCGCCCTAGGCTTTTGTTATGTCTGCCCAACTGACTAAGAATTGTAAGGCAGCAGAGGCCTAGACACATGTAACAGATGAAGCAGGATGAAGGACAAGAGCTTAGGATCTGGAGTCAGCAAACCTCATCCAAATCTGTGGACAAGACTTTCTAGTCTCATGCCCTTGTTTGTAAAGCAGTCATATTAGTTTCCTACAATTGCTTGTGACTTAAAATGAAACACCTTTATCCTCTCAGAATTCTGGGAAATCAGTGTCACTGGGTAAGGTGTTGGTAGGGCCTGGCTCCCTCAGAAGCTCTGGGACAGAACCTGTTTCCTTGTCTTTCCAGCTTGTACAGCTGCATCCCCTGGCTCGGGGCCTTGCCCTCCATCTTCAAAGCCAGCAGTGTAGCATCCTCGTCCAATTGCTTTCTTGTTCTATGTCAAGCCTCCCTCTGCTTCCTTTTATGAGGACACCTGTGATTAGCATAATCTCCCCATCTCAAGATCCTTAATCACTCCTGCAAAGTTCTTTTTGCCACATAAGGTAACAGTCAAGGTTCTAGGGATTAAGATGTGGACATTTTGGGGGATCGTTATTCAGCCTAATCTCGTAGGGAGAATATTTTATCTGCCCTACAGTGCTGTGTGAGGATTACGTGAAAAGGACTACATGTATGGTGCTCAGTACATACTACACACTCAATAAATCTTCGTATTTTACAATTGACAGAAGCCTATTTGACTATGAACATCCTTGAAGTCAAGTGGAATAAAGAATGGTATCTAAAATGAAACCAATTTTTAAGATGTTCAGCTTTTCCTGATACTGGGATGAGCATCGAGGGGATTTCCACTCCAGAGTAGTGGCATCCTAGATAGGGTCTCTACAGGGGATGCCATAGGGACTCACGCTGCTGTTTCACACAGTGCTTCTTGGGGCAGGCTGAGAGCCCAGAATCAGGGAAGATTTTGTAGAACTTCCTATGCTTCTGGCACTCAGTGCTGGCTTACTTGAGGGAGAAAGTTAGATTGTCCATAAGAGTGGATGAACTGTGTGTCCTCCAGGCAATCCTCCGTATGTATTAATATTGTTGCCATTGTTATGGGTTTTGTTACTGGGTTTCTGATAAGGGTTGGATAGCAGAGATCTGAGTTATATTCAGAAACCTTGAGTATAGACCCCAGCGATGTCATTTCACATGCTTTGTCATCATCCGGGCTGAGGACCTGCAGGGCGACCTGCCTTCCTGTGCCCTTTCAGTTTCCCTGCTCCTCACAGCCTACCTGGCCATCGACATGCCTCCTAGGAACATAGCAGGGCAGGAGCCTGAAAACTGTAGCCAGCCAGCCAAAAAATGCTGGTTTTATATGGCCTGTAAGCTAGGAATAGTTTTCACATTTTTAAATGATTAAAAAAGTCAAAAGAAGAAGAATATTTGTGACACATGGAAATGATATGAAATTCAAATTTCTGTGTCCATAAACAGAGGATGTTTGGAAACATAAATAAGGTTTCATCAGAATGCAGCTGTGCTCATTCTCTTATCGTGGTAGCTCTTGGGCTTCACAGCAAAGCTGAGCAGTATGACTGTGACTTCGTGCCCACAGACCCTTACACATTAGCCATCTGGAAATTTATAGAAAACATTTGCCGATCCTGGTCAAGGGTAGGAAGAAATCTTTCCATGTCTTCATAAGATCACAGCCTCAGGTTCTGGGTCTTCCAAATGATTCCAGTCATAAAGGGGATGCATGGACAAGTGAATTTCATGCAAAACTACCACGACCACAAAA